CACACACACACACACACACACACACACACACACACACGACAGTAAATTTTCTTTTTTGGAAATTTCCCCCTTATAATTGCCATTCATGTCCACAAGCATTAAGAATAACCTGTTTTCTGTCTGTCCTTACAGCAGTAATTATTTTCTGACTTCTAATGTCAGAAGGAAGAAGGGAAGAGAGGGAGGAAGGAAGGGAGGGAAGGAGGGAGGAAGGCAGGAGGGCACACTGATTACACAGAAATAAATGGAACCTTCAAAAACTCAACAAGATGTCAATAAACTTCATAAGCTGCAGGATAATGTTAAGCTCACACTTATTAATTAATTAGTACATAATGTATATTCACATGCATGCAAGAGAATTTAATATAAAACTGTATTCTTTTGCCTTCTTCCTTCTCCAAAAAACAAAGCAAACACCAACTAAAAACAGGACACATCTTCGACTCCTCCTTTCCTTAGTTATATACAGGATGTTCTTTCTAAACTCTAATGAATACAGATGGAGAAGGAAATGAGCGAAAGGAGGAACCAGGAAATAGCTGCTAAGCAAAATAAAATATATTAGCAATTTGTTGAGAGTCAAATTGGAAGGGCGGCATTTTCAGTCTGTGATCAGAGTGATGAAGTCGAGGCTGTCCTAGATACATGAATTACTAGCAAATAGAATTATCTTAATCATTTTTTCCAAACGAATTTCTTCAAGTTTCTGCATACATGTGGAAGAAGAAATACAGATCAAGCTCACCCCTATTAGTCTAATTCTATGAGGACTCATGGAGGTTTAGTGATTTCATTCTTTGGCAAGTTCAACAAGAGTATCTTGGGTGAAATGCCACTCAGTAGTTCCCACTGAATTTCATAGCTCTGTAAATTATACAACACAAGATCTAAGACTTAACACTTCTCCATAGTGAGTTTTTAACTGAACAAGATTATATATTGTTCAAAACCTGAAACAGAGTCATTTAATTATTTTGCTTTGTTTTCTGCAAGTGTCATAAGGACCCAAAGCTTTCAGAGACATCGTTAGGTAATGCCAGTTGTGCTGGTTTAGAATATGGATAATGAACTCAAATTAATCTATTTAAGAAACAGCACAGTTGAATAAAGTGCTTGAACTTGAAATTCTAGTGAAAGGCATACTTTGTAGCAGCAGCCAGTTCTGTGGAGCCTTAATTTATCTTGTCAACATCTGCAAAGAACATCAGGCTCAATTCCATTTTTGTTATTTTCACAAGCAATTCTTCATGAATAATTGGAAAAGAAATGGCAAGGCAAACTTAGAGAGAAAACCCTGACATTAACAAACTGATATTATCACTGAGAGAATAAGCAGAAAATGACAATTGTTAAGGGTACTCATGTTCAAGGTGACTGAGACCAAAGCCCAATGCTGCTGAATGGTTGACCATTGTGTCCTGTGATGTCTGATAGTTCAACCGAAAGTGGTCTAGCTGGTTTATAGGGAGACAAACTTATGGAGACAGAGTGACAGTGAATTGAGGCCATGATATTGTTAATTAACTGTACAATATAACAGCTAATTTAAAAGAGGTACAGTTGGGGATCCTAATATCCATATTGTTATGGGAGAAGAATCTTTACTTAACTGGATTCTTAATTTAAATGATAATTCTTTTGCCTCTGAAAATAAAGCTTCTAAACTTTATTACTGACAATGTTGAACCATTTTCAGCCAAATAGAAACCCTCCTTGGTAATTGAAACAAACTCTCAGGAGCAAGAGATACAAGAAGTCTTTCCATTTAGGGCTACTTTTTGAGTGGGTTGTTAATAAGATATTACAGTTTGAAAGTTTCAATATTGTTTCTAATTTGCTGTTCATTCTTTTAAACCTATCCAGTTGCTCCCAAATTAGCTTTGTCAACAGTTTCTTCTGTTCAAGTTGCAAACCACAAGAGAGGTAGGAATTCTTGGATTCATACAGTGATTTCATGGTGTTATGTGTTGTGAAACATTGCACTGTATGAATCTGGAATATTTGTGGAGTGTACCCATCAGCTTATTGGTGAGGCATGTTGACTGATAACCTGAGAATGTCATCCTTAAGAAAATAAAAATGCTTCACTCAGAAATTTGACCACAATTAAAGATGTTGGAACGTTTGTTTTCTGAAAGATTAATGTGTGAGAACTAATTATAACAGTCTAGGTTTCTGTTTAAGACCATAATCTAAGATCCCTGACTTGGACACTTGTTAGCATTGAAAATAAGGAAACCCACTTAGCGTGCGTTTCATTGAAACTTTCCATGAAGCCAGAATGGCAGCTTCCATATATGGTGCCCATTTTACTTTGTGTCAAATGAAAACACCTTGGAATGTGTGCTTCCAAACATCGTTTAGAATGAATTTGAAGAATATTTGTGGAGATCTGCACTGAGTTCCATGTTGATGATGATCCAAAATTAATAGTCATATTACTTTCTTCAAACAAAAGCAAGCAGTATCTCATCTGTGACTCATAAATGGCCCATTCCAGCGAGCATTCATCATTCACAGAATGAAGGTTTTTCAGGAAACATAAACACTCTGTTTTTAGTTCACCATTTTTCTTTAAGTGTCCCGTGTAACAGGTGTATCTTATGTTTCACCCTTGACTGTTGGGCATATGTCATTTTGTTCTTTTTGTTCTGTTTTTTCCCCCTATGAGATACCTCTTACAAAGAAATATAATTATTAACATTAACCTAACTTACTTTGAACCACTTGGTAAAAGTGACAGTAATGGCTTTCCTATTGCTTACTGAATTTCATCATTTTCCAGATTTAGTCAATGTTGAGTTTGTCCTTCTGTGGTATATAAAGAAAAGGAGAAGACTGGTCAGGAGACCAGAAAAAGGGGAAATGTATAGTATTTAAGCCTTGTGTTAAATTTGCCACACACTGTCTTTGAACTGTGGAACATGGAAGGTGACCTTTTGAGGGGAATCTAAACAGATTTGAAATTTGGGGAAGTAAATTAAGAACACAGCAGACTTCCGTTCAGAGACTAACAAGCTGATTTGGGCAGGTGGTGTGTGGAAAAGCTGTAGCAGCCAGTCATTAAAGCCTCAGTAGGAATGCCATTCCTCATCTATTATATGCAAATCTGTGGAGTGACCCAAAGAAATAAAGGAGAAAGGAAGTAAAAGGGGGTTTTACAAAGTCCATCTCTTTTACATCACATCAAGCTGCTGGATACACAAGAGCCCTCTTGACCTGGAACTGGACCCTGCGTCTTTCACTCTCTCATTTCTTGAAGAGACTGCACTAATGAGGTTCAAACACATCCAAAAAGCCACCTAATGAAGAAGACATAATTGTAAAATGTGTAGAAAAAGTTCTATAGCTACAGAAGGGTGCGAGATAAGGTGGGGTCGGGACAGGACCAGAGAATGTCAGAGCCTCTTCATTCTCATGGCTGGGGGCCTCCCGCAGGCCCCAGAGGAAGTGTCATCCTGTTAATGTGATGAAAATACTTTGAGTTCTAATTCCTTTACCTTCTAGCTAAAGTCTTATTCCCAAATCCTCTCTTTTTGAATGACTAAAATGAATTTTCATCAGCTAGGATTTGAATAAGCTTTTTTTCATTTGAAAAGAAAAAAGATACCTACCTGTGCCACATTCAGAGTATTTTATATAATATTCACATAGGTAATGTAATAACATGATTACAAGCAACTGGAGAACAATAAGAAAGAAACAAAAGGGAAATCTAATCCCCTCCTCTTTCTGACAATTTTTTTTTCTTCAATTCTCTTGTCTCCAGCTCTGTTTCCCTATGACTCCCACTTCCCCAGTCAGTCTTAGTCAGAAGGCATCTTTGTTTTGTAATATTTCTTAGTTGTCAATGGACCTTTATTTTATGTATTTATATGTGGTGCTGCGAGTCGAACCTAGTGCCTCACACATGCTAGGCAAGCGCTCTACCACTTGAGCCACCACCCCAGCCCCCAAAGGGATCTTTTAACTAACCTCTTAGGAGGCTCCAGCCTTTGCTAATTTGGAAAGTCAATTTTGAACTCTTCTCTGCTTCTAAAATGTCTCTACCCTTTATTATTTTTTAACTTAGCCTCTATGAAATACTTTGTTTTTATAATTGTTTTATATGATGGAACATGTGCCATATATGTGATATATAATATATAATATGAAAATATACATAATATAATATTATGAAACATAAAATATTATTCATAGTATTTTTTCCTGTCTTCTCACTAGAACACTAGACCAATGACACTCAATGTGTCCATGGCGGGCGCAGGGATTGGATTTTGCCTCCTGGAAAACATGTGACAGTATCTGGAGACACATTCAGTTATTCGGTAGCTAGATGTTGCTACTGCTTCTAGTGGATAAGGTTAGGGATGTTTCTGAATATTTTACAATGTGCAGGACAGCCCCACCCAACAAAGAAGTATTGGGCCCCAAATATCAGTCGTGCTGAGACTGAGAAACCCTGCACTAGACTGTAGAACTAGATGTAGTTCACTTTGTCTCTGGGCATGTGATGCCCCGTTCAGCACAGCTCAATAAATAGGGTAAATATGTGTTTCCAGTGCTTGCCCTACCACATCATTATATGTATGCGCTTTGGAGACTCCCTTTCATTCAGTTTTGTTTATAAAACAGTAATAACACCTGAAAATTATATACTATGATCTACAATGTGATTTGAGATCAAAAACTGTATAAAACCATAGTAATTTTCAGAAATCTACTCTTTTAGATAAACTGATCTGTGCATAGGTATATAGTCAATTCTCAGATGATATAATCACTAACTCAGTTATATTTTATTGTGTGGCTGTTGTTTTTCTAAACTCTTTAATATATGCTAGATTCTCTTAGGGGATTAAAGTGGTAGAATAATAAATTTAAATATACCTCTACTCCATCTCCAAAGGAGGTGCCTTGGGATCACCATTCATTCATTTCTTCATTCATTCAAAATCATTTTTTGAGTGATGAGTATGTGCCAAATGATGTTTTCAGTTCTGTGATTACAGGAATGGACAAAATAGACAGTCTACACTTGTATATTTATAATGGGAGCATAAGAGGGTAATTTTTAATATAATTTTCAGATATTACAAATTCTATGAGAAAATGGATTAGGAAATTAAGGGGTCCTGATATTTGGATTTAGGGCTACTATTTCAGGTAAAGTGGTCAGAAATTTTTCTTTGAACAGAGATTTTAAAAAGCAGCTAGGAAGCAAGTAGTGTGTAATGTTTGAGGTGGATTCTGGGAAGGAGTACACCAGACACAGGTAATGGCAAGCATAATGATCCTGAGAAAAAACCTACATGTTTTAGGAGCAACCTTGAGATGTCACACAGAAGTGGGGAGGCACATGGTGGCCTGGAGCCTCAGGGAAGCCAAGGGCCAAAGCATCTGGGAATGAATAAAGTCCTTTTATTCTAGTGAGATGTGAAGCCATTGGAAAGGGTCACTCTGAAGAGATTATCATAAGGGTAGAACCCAGGAAAGCAGATTGGAGAACAATGGCAATAATCCAAGTGAGGAGTGACAGTGACCTTAACCAAGGATGAGATGGTAGAGATGTATTTTAAAAGAATAACCAAGAGGGTCTGCTATTGGATTGGTTGTAGGGAGTGGGAAAAAGAGGTGCATCAAGAATAAACCCAGGCATTTGGAAGAAGAATAAAGCTGTTATTTACTAAGACGGGGCCACCTGGTAAGCAACAGTTTTAGGAAGGTAACACAAGGGCTCAGTGTTGAACACTTAAAAATTGAGGTATTTATTAAATGTTCAAGTGGAGATACTAAAGAGGCAGTTCAAGTCAGTGTAGGAGTCTGAATGCAGTCTCTCACTGGAGTCTTGGTTCAGGCTGGAAATAATTATTTTGGAATGGTCCACAGGTGGATGGTTTTTAAAGACATGGGACTGGGCAGAAAATATCTAAGGTGAACCTTAAGATCCAAGGACTAAACCTTTAGACATTTAAGGAGATAAGGAGAAAAATGAAAAAAACATTTAAAACAAATGGAAGGAGTAGGTAAGGGGGAGAACACTGAGAAAGTGATAGTCCCCAAACCCCCTTTTAAGGAAGGACTGACTGCCAGGCAGCTCTGAGGAATCCACTGAGTTAAAGATCATTAATTAAAAGTGGGATTGGTTTCAAAGTGGTTGGAGGAAAAACTTCAGCCATGTTCAACTGCCAGAATGTAGACATGGAGAGGTGGAGAGCTGAATTTAACCAAGATCAGGTTTTCCCAGGGTACAAGGATTAGGGGATAGAGGGGCAATGAAGTTAGTAAATGAAGTAAATATAAGGATGGACCATAGATTCCATACTTAATAAGAACAGAAAGGGAAGGCTAGGTGTGGTGGCAAGTGCCTGTAATCCCAGCAACTCCGGAGTCTGAGGTAGTATAATAGCAAAATCAAGTCCAGTTTCAGTAATTTAGCAGGGCTCTAAGCAATTTAGTGAGACTCTGACTCAAAATAAAAAGGGTGGGAATGTAACACGGTGGTAAAGTGCCTCTGGGTTAAATCCCTAGTACCCTCCCCACTAAAAAAAGAGACAGAGAGAAAGAGAGAGAAGGGGAGACATGGCAGAGCGTTAAAGAATTATTAAACTATTAGTATCACCCTTTCAGTTTCTTAATATGAATGCCACTCACATTATATCATTAATGATCATTAATGGGGTTTGTCCCTTAGTGAAAGGCCTAGGTATTAAAGAACGGTAAACTAACGAGTACAGGAAAATAATATGGCACTCTAATAATATATCTGAAATGCCTTTCATTTCTATCATGTTCTCATGTTTTTCAGATCATTTTCAAAAATTTTTTCCGAAAAAATTTCATATTTAATATTCTCAAATATATAATGGCCAGAGAAGACAGCTTAATTAAGGTCACAAAAGACTCCTAGATGTTCTAAAAGAATCAAGTTATTATTAATCCATCTCAGAGATTTTAAAACATTTAAATGTTCGCTTATTTTCTGAAATAAGTTTAAAATAGTATGTTTAGCTGAGTATGATTTCTTATATAATTACTTAACTCTTCCTACCAAAATTAATAGATAAATTTCCAAAAGAGACCCACAAAGAATTAATCATCACAGAAATGTGTACTACTCAATTAATTTGAATTGTAGTAGGCAACAAGGCTACATTTGAATGGCCATGATGAATCATATGGAATGGGTCTCCGCATGTTGTACTTGGATATCTTTTTTTTTTTTTCCTTTTCTCAGCGTTTGGGGTTGAACATAGGGCCTTGCATGCACAAGGCGGGGACTCATTCTATCATTGAACCTCTGACCCAACCCTGACCTTGGATATCTTACAGATATATTTTTTTCTTCATTATGCTTTTGTCAGATGCAGCTAAGCAAGTAGTTCTGGCCATTGGACAGAACCTGCAGAATCCTTTACCACAAAGGAATCATGTTATGAAAATTCAGCTTCACTCTTCACATTTTCTCAGTTTTATCCTCTCATGCTCTTTATTCTTTTCACCAGGAGTGCCAATTCCCACCCACCCACCTCCACCATTTTAAAATAAACTCTACCTGCTTCAGTGTTCAAGTCGTATGGACATTTTTCCTAATTCCATCAGGCTAAATGAATTTCTCCTTCTATCTAGATTGCTTTGTGTGTCTATTTCATTTTCTTAGCACTATGGTTTTGTTTTTTTAGCTATCTGAGCATGTGTTTGTCTTACCCACTAATCAAACTTCTGGGTTGTTCCAAAAAGTTTCAAAGATGAATTTTTACACATAAGAGATGCTTTCAAAAAAAAGATGGATTCATTTAATTAGGTACACCAAGGACCTACCTGGATTGGGGAATGTGAAGAAGGATAAAGAACACAGGCCTCCCCCAGAGGAGGAGACCTTGAGGATGGTTCTGTCATTGCTCTCTCTTCAGAAAGCTCTAAAGAAATCCTTGGGAAACAATTAGATTTGGATCCTACAACCACTGTTCCTGGGAGGCTGCAGGCTAGAAAGATTCTTACTGCTTCACACCCTCAGAGGATGAAAGCTCTAGAATCCTTGCCAGTTTCCTAGGGAGTCAGAGATGCCAGTACACACAAGTTGTAATTCAAGCAGGTATCATGGAGTGAAGTGAATGCTTGTGTTTTACTAAAAGAATTTACTTTGGTAATGTGTAGCTCTATTATTATTGGTGGTGGTGTTATTATTTACTTGGCATGACTTATTGAATTTATTTTCTTATTTCACCTCCTATATTGATGTTTCGATGCCTTCTTCTCCCAATAACCTCCTTTCTCTCTGATTTCTCCCTCTTCTTATTCCCAGCCACATTCCTGCACATGATTACAGCAGACCTCAAAGACAGGAAGTGACTTGGCTTCACACATTTCTTCTTCTTCCCTGAGTATCTTCAATTCTTTGCTAAGCCCTGGGTCCTTCATTTCTTGTATCCAAATTGAATATCATTCTGTCAGGACCTTGACCTCAGCAGGCTACTGGATTAATCAGCTTTCTAACAAATGAAGCACATTCTTCCAATATGTGATAGTGTATTAACAATTTTTAGATATATTTACCTTTCCTTATTCTTCTTTACTTACTTGATAACACTCAATTTTATTCTGATCCTAAAAATGCAATATTTCTCAGATTTTATGTAGGCCAAAAAAGTATTCTGACTACTGGCATAGTACCTAGAACATAACAGACTAGCTCAATGAACTATTGAGTGAATAAGTGAATGGATGGAAGAATGAATGGATTCAAATTTGATTGTGTTTGGCTTCCTGGTGGGAAAAATAAAATCCAGACACAAATGAGAAGAATATTTAATAGATAAACAGTTTTCAGTATTGGGATTGTCCTACTTTACAATTGTCCAGCTAGGCCTATCTCCACCTTTTGAGAAGACACAGTAGATTTCCCACCTACTTATCACTCACAGTTTCTTTTCTGTTTCATTTAATAATTATTTCTCCAACAGAAGGACCATCTTTACCATTTATTTTTAGATATTTGAATTAGATTAACAGGTTCTTGCTTTGGCTGAGATGAGGCAATCCAGTCACCTTCCACCATCCCCAACCACTCTCATCCTCTTTGTCTCCCTGTCTTGTTTTTCCACCATCACTCCAAGCCTCAGAGGCTAACATTTTAGAGAGAAAAAGGAAACTAAATCCAGACATGTAGCAGCTGCCTACAGCCCCCCTACTCCACCTTTTTATTTTATTTTTTTTAGCAGATTTAGCACAAAAATCGAAAGAAAAGGACATTGTAATTTCCCTGATTTTTATGTTTTCTCTCATATGTAAACATGCAGATTTGACCCGAAGAAAGTCATGAAGATCCATCTTCTCTTAACACTGGGAAAAATTCAAAATGGAGAATTGTGTAGTTGTCCTGATCCCTGTTAAATTTGCCACGATTTCTATGAAATCCTGACTAGGTTGCTCTCTTGCCATGAACAATAGTGAGACAAAGGAGCCACAGGGGACAGGAGATTCTGACCCTCAGTTCTCACGTGCTTCCCTCCTTCTTTTAAAGACTGCAAACGTGAAAAGAGGGGAAATGGTGCAAAGACAGTAAAGTGTTCCATATGCAGAAATTAGACTTTTGCATCAATAGAAACCAAGTTTTCCCAAATTTTAAAAGGCGTACACCTGCAAATGCTTCTGTTCATCTTGTCTGCCAAGAATTAATGATCTTCAGTCATGTTCTGAATGTCCGACCTTTCTATCCTGCTTGAAACAGATGCTACTTCCATGCCAGTCACAACCACCTGTTGTCGCCATGTGTTGTGTTGATTCAATATATGTGATGTCATTCCACCATCTTTTCTCCATCCCTCATTTCACCCAAGCATGTAGTGTGCTATTTCTCTGCTGCTGTATACACTCTGTATACATTTCTGTTCTTCCTTGCAAGACTGCGAATGCTTCGGCCACTCCAATCGATGCAGTTATATCGATCTGCTAAATACAGTCATTTGCGTGAGCTGTAAACACAACACTAGAGGGCAGCACTGTGAGTTATGCAGGCTGGGCTACTTCAGAAATGCTTCTGCACAGCTGGACGATGAGAATGTGTGCATAGGTCAGTTCCATTATAATTTCAGCTTTTGTTCTGTGCCTTTGGAGCTATGGGGAGCTATCTAGGGCGGAGAGGCTGATGATATGCACCACAGCTGTGCAAAAATGAACTTTCTCAATGGAGCAAATGTCCTCGTGGTAGACTTAAAATTCATTTGTACTGGTTGAAATCATACATGGGAACTATATTTTGAAGCCTTATGTTGTTGTTGGTCTGAGAAATCATGTATAGGAAATGAATAAGTTGCTTTCCTTCTTTTTTCTTTTCTTCTTCTTCTTTTTTTTTTTGCATGAATTCTTAAAACCTGGTAATTTTAACTTATTTTTTGAACATAAATTGTACATTCGACTTTAAAATGGAAATTCATTGTGCAGGATTTAATTATGAATATGAAAATTAGAGACACAAATCCATGCATATATTTGGCGATCAAGTTTGGGGGAATAAAAATGTTGCCATTTAGAATTGAAAGCTACCAGCAACTGACCATAGAAACGTTTGCCTGACTTTTTCATCCACAGTAAAGAAATTCCATTTATTCAATTTTTCCTTTAGTCTTCCCAATGACAAGTAATTTCTCAATTAATTCTCCAATCTTACAAGATGCATGAACCCTAGAAAACTGGGTCCGTGGAGTCCTTTAAGCATATCTTCCCTCCATCAATGACTACTGATCTTGTCTCCTGGGGAGGACTAGATATCCTATCCTCTTAAAAAAAAAAGTTTCTTCTATCTTTCTCATAGTAGGACCTGTTTTTACAAAAAAAAAGATGGAAAAATAATAAACAATAAATGGAATTTCACTCCATAACTTAGTCTGAAGAAATGCATATCTTTTGAATATGGTGACTGTTATCATACTAGTAGTTCGTTATATAGACCACCAATTTTAAAGATAGTCTCTGTTTTTTTCACATGAAAACTAAATTAAATAAAATACATATTATGGAAAATTCTAGGTGGTCTTTTCATGTTAAAAAAAAAAAGAAATGATTTGGTTATCAAGGTCATGTAGATTCCTGTCAAGTGTCACATAAAATAGTTGTACAATTGTTTTTAATTAAATTTGGTTAAGTATACATAATCTTGTTTATTTCTACAATATTTTATATTTTTCAAAATGCTTCCTTATTTATTATTTGTGAAGTAGTGAAGAAGGTACTGGACTTAGAGCCTGGAGAGCTGGGTTCAAGTCCCAGTTTGCTGTTTAATAGGTGTATGTCTTAGGTAAGTCATGTGAGCGTCCTGGTGAAATCACTAGCAGATGTGAGCACACTGGGTAAACTGTGAACTGACCTGCAATATTTTTTTCAATTTAATCCTCATTTATAAAACAGTAGGGTAAGTATTACATTGATAATTTCTGCTATTTGAGAAAAAATAAGGCAAATTGACCCAATTGTTCAGCTTTAGCAAAGGGCTTCCTGACTTCAAAGACTGAACATTCTCTCCTAACCACTCTGACACAATTAGCAAAGCTGAGCATGTCAGATTTTGACTCATAGTATGTTTTCTGGATGACAGCAGCAATTCCACTCTGAGCTTGTGAACAGAAGTTCAATTGCCTTCATAACACTTGGGTTTCAAAGATTTGAGGATATTAATAAAAACCAAAAGACATGTAGCTGTCTGAATTTTGAATGCAGAGTGTATTCCACTGAATGCCATTTGTAAAGATATATAAATGTCAAGCTATAAATATGGAAGCAACAGAAAAGGCAAAATAAATAGGAGCACAAAAATAAAACCTAATCATCTTACAAAATATGCAAGATTACAATGTTTCACAATATTTAATAGTTTAAATAAATATTAAGAAAAAGCCTTAAAGGAAAAGATTGTGCATTAAATTTGAGAGGATACAACACAAGTAATTGAGAATTAATTTTAACATCATTTCATCTAGAAAGCACTAATGAAAATGAATGGATATTTACCTAACTACAAAATTATACACTAATCTCAGAAACTGAATTTTATCCACGTCTTTTCTAAATTAAAATTTTTTTAAAATGTACTTGCCAATTCTTTAACAATCAGAAATTAAATTCACCATTCTGACTGTGAGGAAACAACTCATACCTTTGATAGATGTAGACTCTGTGTTGAAATAGATGTTTTAAAGTACTTGCATCATTTTATATTATAGCAAATATAAAATGCAGCTTGCTCATCCATGTTGCCACGGTGATCACTGCTTTGTGATTACTGGTGAATTTACCCATTTGTCATTCAAATTCCAAACACAGCCATGTCTCCAAAGATGCATGTAATCATCCTGTGATGATGCACCAATTACATGAAGGTGGCACCCTTGCATGCCTCTGTTTAATATAAACTTGAGCATTGAGCAGGAAGCAAAAGGACACATGGTTTGTGACCTTGGGTAATCACTGTTAATAATCCCTGCTAAAAAGCTTTGCATCAGAATGAAACAGAGGGCTCAGCAGTTGCTGCTAAACATATCTCTAAGTTATGATGTATTATTTTTAATTCTCCTTGAAACCCAAGATCAGGTAATCAGAGGTACCACATATAGAACAAAATAAACACAAGACAATTATAATATCTATAAATCAACTGTAGCATAACTTTTTAATCAAGCCACCCAAAGCATTTTTATAATATAATAGTCCTGTATATTCATAGTTTCATGGGCTAAAATATGATCCTTCAATGATATTCCCATTTCCCAACATCTACCATGCAACAAAGCTCAATGGATGATATTTTTTTTTTAAGCTGAATTATTTATATGTAAGGTAGAGGGTAAAACCACTCCTCTTCTTGATATGTGTTTTCATGATGTACTATAGCTTAGATGATACACTGTTTGGGTTTTGTTTCGTTTTCTTTTGTTTACATTTTTTGCATCTATAAACTTATATTAATTGATTGTTATGGGCTAATTAACTAGCACAGTATGTGAATTCATGGTGGCCAGATGTAACTCTGTTAACTGGCTTAAAAAATTTTGGTGATTCACTGTCAACTTATACACTTTAAATAGTAAGAACATATTATAGTTTTGGTATAGGTACAAACTTATAGTATACATATGCACAAACACTGAAAAACAAAACAAAATAACTATTTTAAAATATGTTTTTAAAACATCTCCCATACACAAATATACATTAGAATAAAAAATATCCCTTAAGAAAAAAACCTAGTTATTAAGTACAAACCAACCCAGGTAAGGGGGCACTTTAGAGTTTATTGAGTTCTACTTTTACCTACATATGTCACTGTTAGCCCTAAAAATGCTTGTGTGATAAGAACACTGAACTCAAAATCTGACAACATGAAATTAATCTTAATTCTGAGGAACTTCACTTTCTTTGAAGAAATTATCTAATTAGCCTCTATGACACAAAGTTAGAATAAAGCCCCTGGTTCCTCTGTAATGTTAACCCCTGAACCCTCATTGCTAATCTAACACACTAAACTTAATTATATTAAACGGAAGTTCTTTGGACTTCAATTGGTTGGTCAGTTGGTTGGTTGTATAATATTACTTGGATTTTAGCAGAAAACTTCTTAATGGGCCCCTTTTAAAATAAAAGAAATTGAGAGACAGAGAGTTATAATAAGTTGCCCCAGAGTAAATAGATTGGTAATAAAGAAAGGGACTTTGGCTCACAAATTCTTTAAGGGGCACACTGCCTATGCATTCCTTCCAGGCTTTTTATCAAAGCCCAAGGAATTCCTACTGATTCAAAGGTTAAATACAGTAGAGCTTCAGAAGTAAAAATATCCTATATGAGAATATGTGCTGAATCAAGAAAATGTTCTGTTTATTCTTTACTATGCAAAGTTGTATTATCCTGGTAGCAGATATTATAACAAAAAATATACATCTGAAATTACATCTGGGTTGAAATTTATTTGGGATTATGAAATTCAGTTTTCTTTCATGATCATTAATCTCAGCTGCATAAAAGCTGTACCACCATGCCAAGCAAATACACCGTCTAAGGGCTCATCACAAAACAGTATATACATAAATAAGTTAAGGAGCTATCCCAAACCATAAAGCAAAACTACCTCAGAGTAAGCAAAGTGCTTTCATATTGCACATTTTAAATGTTCAGCAGTTCTCGAATATTGAGTATAACAGATAAGCCCATTTGAATAATTTAAAACAGATTTTACACTGATGGCATATTGATTTATCCTTGATATACAAACTTCTCGTGCTGTTCATTAAACCATCTAAAAATGCCCTAACAAACGGAATCTCCATTATGATGTGTTACCAGTGAAAAACATGATGTCTTATTTCCTTGGAAGTTTTCAGTTGATTTCCTCCCATATCATAAAAATGATATCATGGAAGGCTGAGCAAATAAATAAATGGTCCTGAAATAGCCATATTTGCTGAAGCATTTCATTAATGGACATCTTTCTTTAAGTAAGTGATGCATTTAAGTGACGCTCCTGTGTTGATAACCTATAAGCCATGCGGACTTGTCTCCAGCCTGTGTGTTGTCTTGTTTCTACAGAGTGTTATTGTAACCCTTTGGGCTCAATCCATGATCGTTGTAATGGCTCAGGATTTTGTGAGTGTAAGACTGGAACGACAGGGCCTAAGTGTGATGAGTGTCTGCCGGGAAATTCCTGGCACTACGGCTGTCAACGTAAGTAACTCGGGAGCTGCCCTCTGCCTGCTGCAGCATGGCTGATTCTGCTTGTCTAGGCCTGTGTGTGCAGCTTCTCAGAGCAGAAAAAGACTCAAATCTCTGACAAGCTTTAAAGGCTACTTAGTGCCCCTGCCCATAGAAAAGAGTGATCCATCAGCTGTCCAGCTGGCTTCTTTGAGGCTCATCTTCATCGCCTGTGATGGTGGGCGCAACTTATATTGAAATATTATATGGAGATCCGTGTACCTGGCCAGACCATAAATTAAGTAGCACAATAGGGACCCAGCTTGGAAATCCTCACCACAAAATGAAGGGTGATGTGTATGTGGTTAATATATTTCTTGAACTGAAAGCTACCCTAGAGCTCTGGAGTTCATAAATTAAATGATATCTGCATAACTTATTACCACCTTTTCTATCATATCCATCATGGAATCTTAACCAAAAGCTTGGCAGTAATAAATCTAAGGGATATTTAAATGCCAAGATAAAATAAATGACAAAAAATCAATATTGGCTTTAATCCTTTGAGGTTAGGCACCATGTGGCAAGCCTTAGACAGGTGCCATTTAGTTTGGCCTCATTTCTCTGGATATTACCAAGTCTTCTTAAAAGCTTGTCAGGGCAGGTGGCATGTCAGTGTACACATAGAACAGAAATTTTAAATCTGAGCAGAAACTTCCCCCTGCCATGAATAACTTTTTCTGCTTTTTAATTCTACACTAACTTACCATTGTCTCTCTATATAGTTAACTTTCTAATACTAAGTAATCACAAGGTGTACCCTCTAGGGTAAACCAGTTCAATAGAAAATAATGCAAGCTACATATAGAATTGTAGATATGTTGTTATTCACATTTTTTTTAAAAAAAGTAAAAAGAAACTGGAGAAATTGATTTTAACAACTTATTTTATTTAACCTCAAATATCAAAAATTATGAAGTATATGTTTTCCATTTTTCATGGTTTTTGGAAGCAGGAGTGTGTTTTGTATTTACAGTACATTGCAAGACTTAATAGCCACATGTATGGTTACCATATTGATCAACACAACTCCAGAGTTCTTTTTGCTTACTTTATACTTGAAAAAATATATATATCAGCATGCAGGAACTATCTAGAGCTAATTTCTATGGGAAATTATATGTTATTTCTGTAATACAACAATAGCTGCTAGACTCTATATAATAAATATTACATGATAAATTCTATAATAATAGCTGAAGACAGCCAATTTTTATAGAAAATTATATAGAAAAATCTACAGGAAATTATAGAATGTTCTATCTGCTGCTTACAAAATTTATAGTTATCTGGCAGCTATATTTATACATAATGCAAAACCAAAGTGAAATGCCATGGGCAGCAATGAACTGTGACAGCAAGTAGAGACATTTGGCACTGAGCACATCAAGATTAGGATGGGACCCAAGAGCTGGAGGTTGAGGTCTGCAGTCATGCTGGAAAGAGCATTATAAGGTATTCAGATCCTCAGAAGTCAAGCTACACACCTGCACATGAACTCTGGATAAGACCCTAGGTTAAAAGGCTTATGTGCCATAGATTCCCAGAAAGCACTGGTCCCTAAGGGTAGATCCCAGAACCACATGAGGAGACAGGACCCAGAGGGCAGCCTTTCATCCTGGAAAACCTGGACACTGAAGAACTGTCAAGCAGTCAGAAGAGGAAAAGAGATACAGAAGAAGAATTGAAGTAAATATCCAGGGGATGGAGGCATAGCTCAGTGGTAGAGTGCTTGCCTAGCAGGGGTGAGGCACTGGGTATGAGTTCCAGCACCTCATAAAAATAAATATACAAAATAAAGGTATTGTGTCCATCTGCAACTGAAAATAGTTTTTAAAGGAAATATATACCAAGATTCAAGGCATAAAGAATAAGGAGACCCTGTAATTAAGATACACCTTTCAAAGAGAAAGTGTCATAAAATTCTTGGTCCAGGAGGACCTACTGAATGAATTCCTGGGGTGTAAACAGGGTAAGAGTTTGGAGTGGAAACTAAATTCATCATGGCTTGGGGAAAGTAACCCAAAAAGAGCCTAACTCAATTTTTCTAGGTTATTTACTGGAGTATTGCAAAACGTTATAATGTCACCAAAGAGTTATAATGTCACCAAAAATTCCTACTGTATCTAAGCCTGTGGTGTTCCAATCATAAAACCCTCTGTGCCTCAGTTCCATCATCCCCATACTTGTTATATGGACCACTGGGATGATGGGGAATAAAACTATCCATTCTTTTGAGGATGTACTGAGTCCCCACTATGACTCAGGAATTGGGCAAATGATAGAGGTTACAAGGCTGAAAAGAGGTAACTGCTGTGGACATTTGGACACGGGCTTCACCATCTGGAGTGAGAGGCTGGCATGCAGCCCTCCAGGTATAATAGAAGGAAACCAGAACTAAGGAAGAAGTTTGTACATGGCTATTTTCTACTACAGCCCAGATGGGCATAAGGCTCCCCAGAGAAGGGGAGTAGTGAAGAATTAGGGAGTATTGAAGGATTAGGAGGAGCTCTCCAGGATAGAAAAAGGGGGCACAGGTGCATGAGCTAACCACACTATGTTCCAGAAATATCGAGTAGTTTTGATCATCTTATCGGAATGAAGACTGGAAACCACCTTACTTTAGAGAGATGGGATTCATCATAGGGTTTTAAGCAGAGAAATTTAAGCAGAGAAATTAAAGGACTGGATTTATTTTTGAAAAGATTATTCTAGCTATTCATTTAAGGATTGGTATGGGTTGAGACTAGATTTGATATGCAAATTCAACATATTTCAAACTTACTTTTGAGGACATAAGAGCACTCACTCTGAAATCTTTCTTGCCTTCCCTCAGACCCACCCACATAGGCTATTATTTTATACTAAAATATAGACATTCTTCAGGTACTTCCCCATTTCCTGAAAGTGCCTTTCCCTTGGATCTATTAGACCAGCATCAAGATCCAGCAACTAACAGGGTAACATGACAGGAATCTGCCTTCCTATTTTAGCAGGTATCCATTCTGATTAGCTGGTGCTGGTGGGTTAGTAAATATTTTTCAGTAAATATATCACTGTCATCCGTATGTCTTCACACTCATAAATACATACACACACACACACACACACACACACAAAATGTCCCTCATGTCACTCTTTGTCTTTTCCCCCTCCATTCAAACACATACTGCTACTTGGTCTGAGTCAAACCCATTCTTGGTTTGGCCACAGTATTAGTGGCAGAGATCTTAAGCTGGCAACAAAAAACCATTGCCAAGAAGAAAGACAGTCATAGAGTAGGGATGACAGTAACATTAGTAGTGATGAGCTGGCAGTGAGTGAGCATTTGGGTAGGTGCTGCCAGTGAGAGCCTGTGGTAGATTCCAGAGTCTAAGATATCCAGGTCCAGGGCTCTCATCATCCCAGAGGATTTCCAAACAGCAGTGTGGAACTGCAGTCCAAAAGGAGTTGAACTTCAGAACAGAAAGTGAAGAAAGGGATCCATTTACTGACACTATCATTTACATCCTGTGAGTGAAACAACGAGAATAAATGTGCTCTTTAAGTCGGTTATTCAGTTATTCAGACCTGGGCTTGATATCCATTTCCTTCCCTTAGTACTAGCAAGGCTTGGAAGAAATGACTTCAACTCTCTAAGCTTGCTTTATTATGTAAGGAACAGGGATAATAATAAGGAAAATAATGAAAATGGACCTGGTGGTACACAGAAAAACACCCAATTATTATCGCTTAGTTCCGAGTACATGTAGAGTAACAAAACACTAGATAAGAAGCCATATCCAAAATCTTATTGTCCAATGTTAGTGCAGACTTCCAGCAAGATTGACCACTATTGAAGCCCTGAACTATTAACCTAGGGGCTTCTAAAAAGCCTTTGGTTAGAGACAGGGCTGATACAAGAGGCTTACACAAAGCTGACCCCAAAAGTCCCTGTGAGGATTCAACTGTGGAAATTAAAGAACTCCTGGTTCATCAGTGAACTTGCTGCCTGAGGGTGTCACCAACTGCATGCCCCATAAATGTTAGCTAGTCTCTGTGAAAGAAAAGGTGAAACACTTGACAACCACCAGAATGAATGGTCTTTAGACAGCATGAAAAGAAAACAGGAGGAAAAAGGTTTCAAGGAGGCCTGGCAGAGTCAAAATTAGTGATTAGGTTGCCAGTGGAAGAATGAGATGTTGAGAAGAAAAATAAGATTAAAGAAAAAAAAAGACCCTTTTTGAAATCAGAGAAGAAAAAATAGCCAGATCTCAGAGAATAAAGCTGAACCTTTTAAAGAGAAAGCAGTGTTCCATGCTGCCCATAAAATATGAAGAGTTAACCCTGTTACCAGCACCAAGAGGACTGGACAGAGGTTTATGAGTATTTGGTTTGACAGAATAGAAATAGCCACATGTGGAATGAATGAGGCTGTGAGGAGCTGTGTTGTCTTCCTAGAGGGCATATGTGAGATGCTTTGCATATGTAAGATGCTTAAATAAACAATTCTCGGTTTATTAAATTGTTTATTAAAGAGAATTGTTTATTAAATTGTTTATTAAAGCCACCATTGTTGCCCATTGTTTATTAAAGCCACCATTGCTACCCATTTTTTAAATAACATATGTAAATGCTAATGATATTTTAGTAAGAATTAAGTCTGGGTATTTGAAGTTTAAAGATTTGGTAACGTAAGTTAAATGACACAGTTTTGGAATAGAGCTGTAAGAAATCAAGAACTAAGTCCATTTAGCAAGGAGGAGACTGAGATCCAGATGCTGGACCGTGACCTGTAGGATCAGAATGTGGGTTCTTAGAAGACATCAGGACATAGGTTACCAAGAACAGGGAAGCATGTTTAGTGTGAAGCTCAACAGCCTGATCAATAATATATTTAATTAGATTAAAGTGAAATATTGGGAACATTCCCATATAAAACAGTCAAACAAGATACTGTAAGAAACCATGGGGAATAAAAAAATAAAGTCAAT